CCCCCCATAGTCAGTTAGATGCCAGCCCGGTAGATCTGCTCTGCCGAAAAAGGCATCCCTGCCGTAGAATGCATGCCTGTCTCTAAATGATCGATTGGTTGCTGATCTGAAATGAGTTCAGCTACTTTGTCGAGTTAAGCTACCGCAGTGCTAATCGATAGCCCTAACCCTAACCCCCAAAACACCCATAAAACCCTAACCCTAACCCCCAAAACACCCATAAAACCCTAACCCCCAAAAAACCCCTAAAAGCTCAATTCGTCAGAACACCGCCATGCATTCTACGGCAGGGATGCCTTTTTCGGCATAACATCGGCCCTGCTGCCTTTTACATGCATGCATGATAATTCTGAATGCGTGTTATAACAGAATTACTCTTATTGTTACTAATTATTAAGTCAAATTGATAGTATCCCCCCAAACCCAACACTGTGCCGCTGAGTCCGTTTCCATTTCTTGTTTGATACAGACCTGATCATTTCCTGTCTGTAAAGAGAAAGTGAAAGTGTCGGGATTTTAAAGGCAGAATCGCCATTTTATCAAGAAACATTTTATCAAGATTCTGGAATAATGTAAAGATACTCTGCGTTTCAAGGTAAGATTATATTCAACAGATAAAGCTAGTAATAAAATTAATAACACAGCCTACTTATATAGTGGGATTTAATATTTTCAACATAAACGTTATATGTCCATACAGTACAGAAAGTTACTGTGTCTCAGAAGAGTTTTCGAATTAACATCAATAATGTTTAATTGCTTACGTTCAGCCAAGAGTTCACCTAATATACGGTGCTAAGTAAACATGGACCAGGGGGAAGGCTGTAATATATTTTGAAGCTATATTAAGTTTTTCTTTTTTTAAGTGTTGGGGATAACATTTTATCAAATTAAAGGTTTTACCATGGATTTCTTCTGTGTTCTCCAATCTGAAAGGTGTTGATTAACTATCGTCAAACTTTGCAGTCATATTTAAACTGTTTAAAGCAAATGGTACGTAAGTCTGATTTTAATAATCGGTAAACAATCGTAAGTCAAATTCTACCCAGAGCGGAGCTGAATAACAGAAGGCGGTGTGTGCATATACACACACACACACACAAAACCATATAAAGCGCCTTGGGATGACTCTGCTGTGTAAGGCGCTATATAAAAATAAATAGACTAGAAACTGCAGGCAGTTACGAACGGGTCCAAAGCGTAGGATGATCGGACTGGTAGGACAGTAGTGGAATAACGGCAGAGAACCGGCGGGCAGAGTAGTATAAAGTCAGACAGAATTAGACTGCCATAACAGGATGGAGATTGAGCATAGGTCTACCGGGATAGGAGGTGTAGGATAGAGCAGGACTGGTCTCAGTAGTAGGCAGAAATTAGGATGGAGATGCTTTTAGTGCAGGTGTAACAGGTCAGTTGATGTCGGAGAGCACACTGTGCACATCGGGCTACTTAGCTCAAGCACCCACCGAAGCTGGGTTCGAACTGGCGACCCTCTAATTACAAGCACACAAGTTTAGCCCACTGAGCCACCCGCTGCTGTTGGTAAGATGGGTGAGATCGGTGGACACCTTCCTACCTGATCTGGTAACTCANTAAGATGGGTGAGATCGGTGGACACCTTCCTACCTGATCTGGTAACTCATTTTAGCTGAATTAGCCTAGGTGGTCTTAGTCATATATGGATAGTGGCTATAGCGCTCCCGTTTGACCGATCGACACGAAATTTGGAGGGTCTCTCTGGGGTACAGCCTTTCATCAGAGATAGATATTTGGAAATGATTGGCTGAAGCGTGCCTGAGTTGTAGCTGTCGGATTGAAATGGACGTGGTACCAGTACAGTCAGGGTGTGGCTGGTGGCCATACCTTACCAAAAGTTTCATTTTGTTCTCTAAATCTTTAAAAGGACTGTCTCCTGATTTGAAGGACAACAGATTTATGTAGGTTTGAGGAAAATCCTAGGAGGTTATATTTCAGACAAATATAAATCATGCAAAAATGCAAAGATGCAGAACCAAGTGCTATATGCTACTGGATTTGGCACGACATAGTGAATTTGACTGGCAATAAAATTTAAGTGTAGGACAAGTAGGCCAGGAGATATCGACCAAAATGTTTTGTGGGGCGCAACGGAGCCCCCCTCTGACTGACTGGGACGGGTCGGAGGGGCTGAGTAGTGGGTAGCAATAGGCATCTTACTGCCAAATTTGGTCGGCCTAGGACTTACGGTTTAGGCTGGGCATTCAGTTTTAGGGAAGAAAAATAATTATAATTGAACCCTCCGGAGGAGTGCCTGAGCCCGTCTGAATGGCTGGTTTAATAATAATAAGATGGGTGAGATCGATGGACACCTTCCTACCTGATCTGGTAACTAATTTTAGCTGAATTGGCCTAGGTGGGTCTTAGACATATATAAACAGTGGCCGTAGCGCTCCCGTTTGACCGATCGACGCAAAATTTGGACAGTCTCTCTGGGGTACAGCCGTACATTATTGAGAGAAATTTGGTAATGATTGGCAGAAGCATGCCTGAGATATAGCTGTCTGATTGAAATGGACGTGTCACCAGTACAGTCAGGGTGTGGCTGGTGGCCATAACTTACCAAAAGTTTTATTTATTTTTTTTAAATTCTTTAAAAGGACTGTCTCCTGATTTCAATGACAGCAATATATGTAGGCTATGTGAAAATCCTAGGAGGTGAATGAAATGACCTGTTTTCAGAGAAATATAAATCATGCAAAAACACAAAGATGTAGAACCAAGTTCTATATGCAGTTGGATTCTTCAGGACATACTGAATTGGACTGGCAATAAATTTCAACTGTAGGCTTGGCTGTTCTGGAGAAATAGGCAAAAATGCTGATGGGGGCGTTATCGTGCCCCCATTAGGCCTAATGAGATGTCCTTTAGGAGGGCTGAGGGTCAGAGGACAAATATGGCATCAAAATTTGGTTTGGATTGGTCATCGATAAGCCTGTCAAATGGCTGCTTGAATTTGATTGGCTGATTGCAGCCACTCTTTTAGAACTTATGATTGCCATTATAGGTGACTGACCTCAGGCTGGGACCTAGAACATATGTGCCAATATTCAGTTGGATTTGCCAAGGTAGTCAGGAGATATTGGCAGTTTTTAGTTGTAGCGCCCCCTATGGACGAAATGCGGCCCGCCTTGGACTGTGTCCCCAGAATGGTGTCGGGAGTTAGGTAGGCCAAGGCACGGCCAAGTTATAGCAGTCAGACCAAAACGGGCCAAATTTGGGCATTGTTTGGGCGTTGCTAATGGCCGTAGGATACACAAATGTTTGAATTTTTTTGAATAATTCTTGATCAGCTTAGAGTTCTAATTCGATTGATACCTCATTTGTCTGATTTGGTAGGACAAGCTTGGACTTTAAGGCTTAATTAGTATTTGCAAATTATGCAAAATTACCGAAAAATCTACCCAGGTGTAGTTTCATAGTCCAAATGGCAAGTTGGTAGGAGATGCCTGTCTGTATCTGGGGAAAAAAGAATTTTGACTGTAGGACCAACGGGTCAGGAGATATCGACCAAAACGCTGACAGGGAGGGGTCAGAGGGCCTGAGTAGTGGGTAGGAATTGACATCTTGCTGCCAAATTTGGTAAGCCTAGGTCTTACGGTTTAGGCTGGGCATTCAGTTTTAGGGAAGAAAAAAAAAAGAAGAAAATCCTAACAAAAACAATAAGGTTCCATAGCACTACGTGCTTTGGACCCTTAAAAAAACAATAAGGTTCCATAGCACTACGTGCTTTGGACCCTTAAATATACAGTATATATATATATATACACACACACACACACACACACGTGTGTATATAAGTGTGAGCTCTTTTCTATTATCAGTCCTGAAAAGGACGCAGCAGATCCAGCAAGTAGGAATGAATCTCACTTCGCAGACACCGACCGGGGTAAATACGGAGGGGGGTCACACATTTTACCGGAATATAAACACACGGTGGGATTATAGAGACACAAAGTTCACTTTTACACAGATGGGGGGTCGTCCATGGATTTGAGTCGCGCACGCACTGCCGATCTGAGTCAACCGTGTTAAACTATTCAGGTAACTAAGGATTGTTAGGACGTCTTCTGAAGGTAAAAGAGCCCTAAAAATAGGGTTTTGTTCCATCAACTCAGGGACTGCTTTTTTCTTGATAACTGAAAAATAGGGTACAGCGTGTGGCTCAGTGGGCTAAACCTGTGTGCCTGTAATCAGAACATTGCTGATTCAAACAGAGCCACAGCATGTCTGAGGGTCCTTGAGCAAGGCCCTTAACCCCCAGCTCCCTAGGCACCCCAAGAGATGACTGCCCTTCACAGACAACTTACTCTGTAAAACCTTTGTCAAATGGAGTGTGACAATGAGTGATTCTTCAATTCTTTTGTTTCCATTAATATGTCATGCACTGCGTACAGCAGGGGTCTCCATCTCCGGTCCTGGAGAGATACTGTCCTGTAGGTTTTCTGTAATACCTTGCTTCTGATGAGTGACACCTGCTCCTGGTATTTACCTGAGAACAGGTGTGACTGGACAGTATCTCTCCAGGACCGGAGATGGAGACCCCTGGTGTACAATGTTTGATATGGTTTTCAAATTAAATTAAATTTCGAAAAAATCTTTATAAAAAATACTTTGTAATGTTATAAACATACACAACCTACTGGAAATAAAGTATCCATAAATGACCTTTTTTTTAAGTATCATACCAGAATCACGAGAGAAAATCGTGATCTTCATTCTGAAAAAAATAACGACTCATTTTTTACCCAGAATTTGGAAGCCCTAGTGTAGGATGCCCAGGTGACCAATCAGATAATGAGAAGCTATAACAGGGTTAAATCAAGCATAGGTCACATGATGAGTAGGGACCAATCAGTGTGTTTTTAGAGCAAAAAATCTCACAATATTATGACAGTGGGGTGTGACCCACAGTGTTATGGCTGTAGAGAGCAACCCAGAGTGTTCTGGCTGACGCTGTGATGGTGTTCACTAGCACCTGGTCTGATTAAGTGGATGGAGGGGGCTGCATGAGTCAGAACTCTGACCTGGAGATAGCCATCGAGCTCCTAATGCGCACAGCCCCACCAGGCCCTGTCAGCTCTCAGGCTGCCTCCCTTGCATGCGCAGCTGGGCCAGTTATGTGGCTGCAGATAAGAGGTCCAGCTATGTTCCTCTGCCAGACTCTGCCCCGCCAGGTCAGGAGGAAGTCAAACTGCCCCCCTGTCCTTTGCTCCTCCTTAATGGGCCTCTAGCTGGCAAGATCAGCCCCTGGCAGAATTATGTAATGTGTTATAGCTCGTCACAGTGTGGTATGACTTGTACTGATTTCTCTATAGCACCGGCAGATACTGTGTCTTGGGTTGCGACTGTGGTAATGGGCCCCAGGGGGCACTGGGCCCCGACAGCTGGGTGGTGTAAGCTGAGAGGCTTGCCTCCACTCATACTCCTCGCTCCCCTTCTCACCCACTCTCACGCTTCCCCCTTGTCCCCGGTCTGCACATCCCCATCACATCCTAATGGGATAAGAACATTTTGAAGGTTTGAGGCAGCATCACCAGGACTTGAGTTTATGGACAG